GAGACTTCAACGCAAAACTGGGCACAAGAAAAACAGTGAGCTGAAGGTAGGGAAATTTGGGATAGGGCAACGAAACCCAAGGGGCCAGTAGCTGCCGACTTCATGGAGAAAGAGGGACTCTTTATGATAAACTCTTTCTTCGAGAAGCGGCTCCATAGAAAGTAGAGCTGGTCGAGCCCCAACCTCTGCACTTCGACTCGAAACTACCCTGCACTTCGACTACCGGAACTAAGCTGCCATTCGAAAACCTTTTTACGCCAATGATTCTTCAGGTTAAATATGGCCGGCACTGCCAGTTCAATTTACTGATCCGTTCGCCACACAATATAAAGCAGTAATTTATATTTTCAATAAACTTCATAGAATAATATTCAAGTAAACCTTAAATTTAAATCATTCAATAAGATCCTTTTGGGGTTACTTACACAAATAAGTTAATGAAATTGACGCCACCCGAGATTTTCAGCCCGGATTCCATCTACGTTAAATAATAGACATTTTGGACAAACTGAATCATAAATTGAATTTTCAATGGCGCCGTCGCTAATTAACTACGTCTCTCCGAATAAATGCGATTAATAAAGATGTCAGCAAAGCTAATGAACACAGGCATTAAAATTGAAATTAAAAAATACTCTTTTAAACCATTGCTTGACTACTACCCCACCTGATGGCAAATGGTAATGTAGTCGAAGATGGTAAAGCGCAATATAACTTAAAAACGTCTGGATCTTAAAGAAACTTCATGGTGAAAAAAACTTAATGCACACCTACACAATTATGATTAATTAGCATTCATTGCTTTGTGTATAATATTAATGTAGACTGAGAGTTATTAAACATCTATCGTGTTTTGAAGAGATCATATAATTTGATTAATTTCATCAGGAGTCATGGGTCGTAAGAATATAGTAGAGTTACAGAATTGTTAACACATACAATTATTCGACTTATTTAGTTTGTCTTTATTTGTCGAATCTATGAAATCATTATGAAACCCATTTGCAATGCCATATCCTTCTACTAGGGTTCTTCCATTTGGAATTAATGGTTCTATTACCTCTAGTCCTTACTAGTTATTTTTGCGTTTTTACTCTTCTATTAGTTATATTTATTTTTATGACATTCTATGTAGCTTTAACTTTATTATTTGAGCCTAAGATATATTTTTCATTTTGTATTATTTGTGCCTTTAAAATACATTTCCTTAGAATTTTGGCGTAACTAGTATATCTAGATTTATTTAAACTTTTATATGCTGCTGTCAGCAGATATTTACAATATAGGTTTCTTTTTATTATGCAAAAAATTTTTAAGCCTCTTGAATTCAATAAATTTTATTATTTATTAAGGAAATCTTGATAAATTTGGTTGGAAAACACAGGTCGAAGAACAGTTTGTAAATATGATGAAAATTTGAAAATGCTTTGTTGGTGTCTTGTTCAGTATAGGTTTCAGAAAAAGATATATAATATATAAAATGTAGTTTTCCTTTTCTTTAGGAACATTTTTTCTGTTATTACTTTTAATACGAATATATACGGATAGTTAAATTATATCAGAAACTTCATTTCCGAAGTTAAAATATTCTTTTTTTGGTATAAGAAACATTTACTTAATATAAAAACATAATACTATAACATTGAAATAAAGCCAACACAAATGTCTCAAGTAGCAGTAGATACTCTTAAAGTCACGCAATTACCTGTGTTAATTAAGTATAATTACTTTCCGCATTAACTCAGTGAGTGCTGCTGAAAAGACTGTTATAACCGAGTTACACTTACGAGGAATTACAAACGCTGTTATAATTTTCCGGCAAAACCATTGTTTTATCACATCACATGATCAAATACTCACTTTATAAGTCTGCTGCTAGAATCTTCTTCAGGTATTTCAACAGCCGCTATGTATTTTTTGGAATGGAAGTCAACATGTTTTTATTCAAAATTGATATTCACAAAGCACTTTGAAAGTCAATGAGCTACGCCATCGTATATCTACGGGTGACTTTGTAAGATAAAATACAGTAAAACACTTGCAAGCAAGTGGCAATTGGCCTATACCCACTACCCACTACTGGACTCGCCTCACCAATCCAATGTGCGCATATCCGAGACCCTCATTTTGCAGAATATGTTTCTTTTTATTTAGTATACTACCAATCGGTGAAAGCTGAGTTCGGCGGTTTTAGTTTTTTAATAAATTTCCTACCGTGAGTCGATCGCCGGAGCCTTTTACGTCATACATCACTTATGCCCCATTTACATTCAGCCCGTTTGGGCAGGGAAGTGAGCAGGGCAGTGAGCAGGGCAGTATGTAAACGGGCTACTCGCGCTGATACTGCCGCTGCCGCTGACACTGCCCGAAATGTCGGTTTTTCGTGCGGAAGTCAAAGGACGGGCAGCGCGAGCGGCAGTGTGTGTTCACATTCAGCTCCATCGCTCACTTCGCGACAAGCGCCTGGATGAACGGACGTGCGTGCCGTCCTGTTATTAAATAAATACGATCTACCAAAATGCCTTTCGAGTGGATTAATGAAAATACAATAAAGTTTTTAGAACTGCTGGAATCAGAAAAAACTATATGGGATTTCAACGATAAAAACCACAATTCATCATCTTCTACGAATACGAATTTTCTTTTTGAGTTAACATAGTACCTATGTACATAATTAATTATAAATTCGTCAAATTTATTATATTAATATAAAATTTAGTTTAAGGAATTAATGAACATTGACATTTTATTTCTAAAAACGATTAGTAACTCATATTGATTATTTATTAATTAAAATGTAAAATAAGTTAAAAGGTAATATTTGCATAATAGCCTGAGATTTTTAAATTATAATTTTATTGTAATTAAAATTACGAATTAGTTTATACTGAAGTGTAATTAATAAAATAATAATAGCTTAACTAATCTCATATAATATTTAATATTATTTATGTAACAATAATATAATAATTCAATTAATAATTTATGAACAATTTACTGTATAAGAATTCAAATAGAGTGGATCTGTATAAGTATTTAATTGTACATAATATTTGAATTCAAAAAGAATGTGTGTACCTAACTTTTAAGCAACATCGGGTTTGTGTAATTAGCTGTATTTCATATCATTTTTCCATGCCAATTATGGCAAAACATGTCAGTTCCACGTCATTGATCTTCTTATGCACCATGTTTTTAAGCAAATAAATTTTCTATCTATCTATCTATCTTCTTTTGAACTTGATATCTTTTTAAATTATTAACATAATTTTGTATTGCAAGAAGACACAGCGCGGACGCTGTAATTATTTCGACGTCTGCCATAGTCGAAAGCCGAAAGCGATGTGAGTGGTAGGGCAGAGTGTGAATACACACTTCCCGCGATCCTGCTACGGCAGTATTTAGGGAAGTATTGCCGGCAGCGCGAGGAGCAGTGGCAGTGGCTGAATGTAAATGGGGCTATACAGCTTGCAACAATAGAGCAACATATTATGCAGATATGCTCGTACTGTACTGATTTATAACACCAACATGTATTAATAAATTAACACAAAACACATTCCCTACTTACATAGGTATATATTGTAACGCCAAATTTCACTTTTATAACAGTTGAACTTATTGTATATGTATGCTAAACGTGTACTGAAAAGGTGAAAGGTCCCCGAGTCTCGTTTTGTTTCAGAATTACCTTGAATTTCACTTTCAAAACAGGATAGAGCCTGAGTATAAACGTTTGTTTTATTCATAATGGCCTCTAAGTATAACAATGAAAATCGCGCAATGTACCTACGTGCAATAAAGAGGGCTTTTTTGTTATTTTGGAAATTACAAACATTATTTAGAATTACTTGTACTTGTGCTAAAACACATATTTAAGTTGTTTTTATAAAGATATTTAAATAGGACCTTTAATTATGTCATAATAAAAAGTTACTCATAGGTTTCTTACCTTAATTTTCTGTCTAGTGCCTGCGTAAGAAAATTCAACAACTTAAATAAATAAAAATAAAGGCGGTTGCTAAACAGCCTGCCAAACGTAGCCAGTATGGCAAATCTATATATAAATGCCATCAAAAACATAACTTGTAAAGAAAAACCAAATCTCGCAACTCAGTTCTTCTATCGCAAAAAGTAGTGAGATCTATGTAATACCAATTCGGTTAATTTATTTAGTCCCTACTTAAGGGCTTTGAACTAAGGATCTAACCTAACAACATCTTATAATGACCATAAACATGTTAAAAAGTCTTTTATGTTTTAAATAATTAGATTGACTTGGCCATCGCATGAAAACACAATGTATCTCACAAGTAATACATATTATATTAAATTCGATTGCTTAGTGCTTATTTTTTCTGTAAGAACAATAAGACATAATGAATAAATACATTCACTGGGTAATTTTTTCTACAATAATGATAAAAAATAATTTTATTATTTAATTTTAAAAGGCATAATCATACGTCGTTGCGACTTCAAGATCTCCTATGTGTCACTTTTGTCGAAATCACTTTTTTACACTGGTTTATTTCAAATTTTGGCGCTCAATCGAAAGCAAAAACTCTCATGTGAATAAGTCTTTTCAATTGCTATTTATTTACCTTATTCAATATCTCCTAAGTGCTCGCCCATTCAAAGTTGGCATTTAAAATATCTTATGTGCTAAATATACATAACTACATACACATGAGAGTTTTTAATCGTATGACTACATTACAGTCTAATTAATATGATAAAATATCTTATGTGTTAAATCGCTAGATAGGTAAAAATTGTTATAGGTCAAATTTTTAAGCTAACTAACCAATAGAACACTGGAATGAGAGGATGCATAGATCACGTGACTATTTCCCGATTGTAGGTGTTAGATGGAGCTAGTAGCAATACAATAGGTTTGCTTTCATAACGCGACACGTCGGTACCTGCTCTGCAATAACTTAAAAGTTTTGAAGTTGTTTAACGAAAGTTTGTAATTTTAGTGCGTGAAAACTACAAAAATGAATAAACCGCTTAGTTCTAGTGATATTGAGTTGTTAATTAATCAGCAAAATACTGACGACTTCAATTCTGAGGAACCAGAAAGAGTTGAGCGCGGCTCCAGTGCTTCACTGATTATGCCGGAAGATCTAGGCATACAATGTTCAGAATTGAACACAATAGAAGAGGTTATGGAATCATCTGATCAAAGCATCAGCTTACTCCAAGCCACTGAAGAACCGAGTATTTCGTCTGAACCAAGGCAAGTTCTATCACCATTGCCGATCTTTGATAATTTGAGTGATAACAGTGATGATGATCCAGACTGGGCTCCAGAAACTTCACTGAGGAGGCGGATTCTTTATCCATTGGCTAATGAAGATCTCTATGATAAATTGAATATATCTTGTAGTGCTGAAAATGTCAGTTCATTGTCTGTGCAAGATTTGCGAAGTAACAGGCAGTTATTTTTAAGAAGACGCAGAATCTTGCCTTCTTTGGACAGTGATATAGATAATAGTGGTATTTTACTCCCAGAAAATATTACCTCTGCTTCTGTATCCCTTCCGTCCACTGTTAAGCGTAATAAAGAAGCCCGTATTGCTGGTAAACCGTATCTTGGGTATAAAAAGTTGGATAGCAAGTGGACAGCGTGCATCGAGAGGCCCAAAAGAGTTTTAAAATCACGTTGCTCACATACTATTGCTGCTCCAACATCTAAGAATTCTTTTCTTTGCGCTTTGGTCACTGACGAAGAACGTGAAAAATTAACAATCAATTTTGGAAGCTCAAGACTTGGGCAGAGAAGATTACTTTCGATAAAGGATCAGCAGTGAAAAGATGATGATGAATTTTTTTAATGCATTCTTATATTTACTCGAACACTACACATTAAATGAAACTAGTTTCATTAAAGAATTTTTGCTGTTATATACTACAATACCAACATTTATTTATTTAATCATATTAGCCTCTATATATAACTTTCATCTGACTTTATGCAAATTTAATTTATTTTAGTAGATTGCTCAAACTACTCACATAAACAATAACAAAAAATGCATAGTTTAACATTTCATGAGACAACAAAGGACATGGAGTTAAGAGTCATGCTAGTCGCGGCTGTGAGTGAAAAACTTTATAAATATAAACAAAAAAATAAATGTGGTACAGTGGGCGGCCTTATCGCTAAAAGCGATTTCTCACAAACAACCTTTGGATGGACACGATTTCAAAAGCACAATAAAAATGTGTGTGGTTTGGCAAATACGATATTAGAGAATATTTATCACACTTAAGAATATGACAAAAATCGTGTGAATATGACCTCGATCAGTCAAGTCCAGAAGTTACACGATTACTGTAAGACGCACAAACAATACAATAAAGGTTTAATATTTGAAAAGATATCAGCTCCGTTTGTTCATTTTATTTTTAAGACGAAAACGCTTTTATATTAAGATGGAAACTCTTTGTAGTCTCCTCCATACATATTTAATTGATTAAGCACGGTCAGCTAAACAATAATATCGATTTTTACGCAGACGTTCCGCTGTTCATTGTTGACATCTAAAAGAAAATTATCAATGCATTATCTCAAAACAATAAGTTCAATTGTACACACTATCGGTTTCGTTTTTTTAATATATTTGATAACTATACACAATAAAAAAAATTGCAATCAGTTTGAAAAATTGAAATCTTTTTTGTTACGGTAGACTAACTATTTCTTTTTCTTTTTAGATTATTAACTTAAAAATATAGAATTAGAATATAAAACAATACAGCAAATTCACTTGTTTTTCTATATAAAAAGAAATTTTATTCAAGCTTACGCTCATTCAGAAATCTGACTTAGTCAATTTTAACGGATTTAAAATATTTATTCGAGGAAAATCGTGACTGAAAAAATGCCACGAGGATTATCAGAAGTTTTACGAGCAAGAATTGTAACTTAGAGGAGAAAAGGATATTCGAGAGAAATAGAACGCAGAGTTGCTGTATGTATCCCAATCTCGTTTGGTGGCCACGTTGCCGAGGTACATGGCATGGATAATTTACCTAACTGACCCCGCAGTAGTCACCCAACTGTTCTGACTGCTGCTCAGATGCGCTATATCAGATTGCTGGCAGCCCGTGATCCAATAATCAATGCCACAACAATAAAAGCAGAAGTGCGGGCCACCTCTGGACTTGAAGTTAGCACTCAGACCATTCGAATTGCTTACACCAGGCTAGACTACGAGCCCGAAGGTCTTGGCGAGCACCTATAAATTCACGGCAACGTCAGTGACGGAGGTTACACTGGGCTAGGCTCCAGCAAAATGAAGAAGATGAGGAGGAAAACATTCAGCAAAAGTGTCTCTTCGTTGACGAATCGCGAATCAGTACTCATACAGATAACCAACGCATCCGTGTTTGAAGAAGACCTGGAAACTTTAACAAGCAAAAAACTGCCACTGGAACCATTCAGCGAGGCTGGAAATCGGTGCCCTTTTGGAGTGGAATTATGTTCGATGATTCACGCCAGAAGAAGAAATTTTATTATTCAAGACTATGCTATATTAAAAATAAAATATCTTAATATTACAAAATAAAATTGTTTTCAAATAGCATGTTTAAATGCGTGTTCTGACTCATATAGTGCTTTAGCATCACTGCGAAATACCTATGTATCTTGCAAACATGTTCATGATAGTCCTAGCCATCGCATCAAAAACCATTGAGCATAGGCCTCCTCCCATTTAAGGGTTTTTTAATGGATAGGAAGTATCCATCGCGCTGCACCAATGCCTGATGGCGAGTCACATTTCCTCAAATATTTTTTTTATTTCTCATTCATCACCCTCAAGCATATGATAAATCAGCACATAAAATTGAAACTAACAATGTCATTGGTGCCGACTAAAATCGGACCAAGGCAGACCCAGTCTACTCCCGTACCGTAAAATTAACGGCAAATAATTAAGCCCCTGAGTCAACGATCTATGGTAGAGGCCTAGGTTTAACAATGGACTTTTGATAGGCTGTAAACAATTAAGCCTTTGAGCTACTACGACTCATATAAGAAATTGATACACCAGAAATCCTCGCCTGTGACCAGGTGTGCTGCAAACCGCACGAGACTTATAAATTCTGAAATAAGCAAATCAAATGCACCAAAAGGCATGAAAATCCATCTTTTATTCAGTATAGTGTCGTCATCATAATTATTACAGCCCTTCACAAGTCCACTGCTGAACATAGACCTCCCACCTGCATCTCTAGTGGGGGGACGCCCTTACACTTCGCCTGCCGGTACGAGGCAGCCACTCGGGAATGTTTTTTCCCCATCGGTTATCGATTCTTCGAGCTATGTGGCCGGGCCATTGCCACTTCAGTTTACTAATCCGTAATCAGTGTAGTGTAGTGTAGATAAAATAATAATAACAAAAAAGATTGCTTTTATTTATAAGTGATCAATTTAGTTATCACTATTTTATCTAACACTCTGGTATACTTAAGTTCTTGAATACTCGTATAATATTGTCATTAAATGTCGTAACGATAAGTCGTAACGATAATATTATTAACCCGTGAAAGGATAGATTGGGTCATAAAGTTTTATGTTAAATTTGAAACCAGTAGGTACAGAGGTTATCCTTAAATCTTAGACGAATATGACCGTTAATGGCGGATGTACTAAGATCGCATAAGTTAAGAATAAATTTATAACTTTATATAATTATCTTGACATATAAAAATAAGAATGAGCTCATTAGATAATTCAAAAATAATTTGTATATATAACTACAAATTTAAAAGCGAATGCAAAGCGTCAGCATTATTGACATCGCTAACGCAAACCTCACAATAAGCTAGGTGCTTTTTGTTTTATGTGATGTTTAGCATCACGTGACAAAGGAGCATAGAATCCACTCGATGGTAAGTAGAGGTTACGACTCATAGACACTTATGTCTACCATCTATTAGGAATCGAATTATAGATAACGCGTTGTCAACCCTGGGAGGAGGGAATCCACATTACAAGAAAAGGTCAAATTTCATGTATCTGTCTAATTCCATACAATAATACATTTAGTAAAGTAAAGTTATAGCCTATATACGTCCTACTGCTGGGCATAGTCCTCCTCTCATTTCTGAGAAGGTTTTACGTCAAGGAAGTGTCCGCCGCGCAGCCCTTGGCGAACTTCATATGTCTTCGAAAATATATTTTTTCTTATTCCTAAGAAATGCAGGTTATATTTACAGCGAGCGTTAACCATCTGAACTACCACGGCTCACAATAATACATTTAAGTCCGCATATTTCCGCGGGACTTCTTTCGTAAAACAAATTTTAGTTTAAAAATGAGGTAGTCTAGCCTCAAATTTTGACATTACGGGGCTTGAGCTTAAACTCGAGAATATCTCTTAATACCAACTGATTCAATCAATGGTGTTATTTTGGTAGTGCCATCTTCAGTTATTTTTAAATTTACAGTTTTAGACCTAGATAATTTAGCAGCAGCTACGTGATAGAGCCACGCTGCAGTTATATTAGTAGTAGGTATAGTTGTAGCACAAATTGGTCGGCGCGACCGGGGAAGTACCACGCTCTCTGAATACCAGCGTAAAATGGTAGCTTAATGTTGCTGTGTTTCGTATGGTGAGTGTAGAGAACCGGAGACCCTTTTTACTGGAAACGAGGCATTCCATCTAAGTCCTCACGGGTGACAACGCATCTGCATTTTGATTCGTAATCGAGGATAGATGTAGTAGACGTCTATGGGCCACAGGAACCACTTACTAAGTGGACTGTGTGCTCGTTTGTCACCCTATCCTATAAAAAAATCTGTCTTCTAAGATCTTACAAGGAAAAATTGCTCGCCTGCAATTGCTAATAGGCAGTAGGTATTTGAATCCCATAGGCACTACCATAGAATACTATAATACATTATAGTATTCTGTGGGCACTACTACTGCTATAGTTATAATTTTCTATAAAATATTTAAATCAATTAAATTTTTTGGAAGTAAAAACTTATTTAGAGTTGTTATGTTTTGAAACTCGATGAAATGAAAAAGGGTCACAAAAAAGAGACAAATATATGTATCAATAGAATTTAGCCTGCGAGAGAATGAGATGTATTTAATATTTAGCTTCCTATTATCCCCGTCTCCTCTTTGTGCGTTATTTAAAGATGAGTAATAGACTTTTAACTATTGAAATAAACAGTTATAAATTAACCAATATATTAAATAAGTAAAATAAACCATATTGAATTAAATTATCTTGGCCAATCCATTCATAACAATCCACGATTTCATAGCTTACCGATTTATATTTAATTAATCGTATCTAGGCCTTATATAGCGTCTATTTTACCTACCACTTTGAAAAGTAAATCAGTTTACGTTCGATAAATGTCTTTACCTATAGAACTAAGTAGATTTTACGCCATTACAAAGCAATTTTGCTCGCAATTTTCCGAAGGTTTCACTTCTATAACGAGTGAACTGCGTACATATTTTTTTATTACCGTACTACAAAATTAAATTTATTTTAAATTTAATTTGTGTAATATGTATTTAAAATTAATTAACTTGTCAAATGGCTTTTCTGCAGGTATAGTTAGAACTCTTCTTCGTACTTGTTAAAATCAAAACGTTACAAGTTTTACGATACACACTCGCTACTATAATAGTACGTGACTATGGCGCTCCGTAAACAAGATTTATGACCCAGCAACTAAGATGATAACAGCCGGACTATAGTGATGCTTTATACCAGTGTTGGAATAGGCTTCACTGAAGTTGGGAGAATTATCTTTAATAGCCACTCTTGGTAAGCGGAT